CAGAGCGGGGAGCAGAGCAGGCAGAGGGCCAAAGTACACTGCTGAGGGGAGCAGCGGGCGGCAGGAGAGGTCTGCGCGCCATGTGGGACCCTCCTCCGGTGGCCGGGGAGCAGCCGGGGATCGAACCGGTGCTGCAGAGGCTGCGGGCAGCTTAGCAACCCAGCGCTCAACCGCTGCGCCACCAGGGAGGCCCTAAGATAAACTTTCTTAAATGTGCATGCGTGACAGGAAAAAAGTATCATTCAGGCAAGAAAGGGACTGAAATTGTGACATTAATTATGAGTTTGCTCTTTTGTTCACTCATTTCAGTAAACATTTAGTAAAGACTTTCTACAGATGTAAGACAATTTGTTCTCATAAATACAGTGATAGATTAGCCATAGTCCTGGATCTCAAGGAGTTTACACACCAGCTTTGAAGGGGATTAGGTATGAAAAATTTTAAGTATAAAATGGTACTAACTGTGCAAGGCACAGTGGGAAAAGAAAAGGAAGAGGATAAAGAAAGGATAAGGAAAGGATACACAGTGTTGACATTTCAGCAGTCTGAAAAGGATACAGGTATATACTGAGCTATTGCAGTGGTTCAATGAAGATAAAGCAGTGGGGTAGAGGAAGGAGCTTAACTAAGCAGATATTTCAGCAGTAGAGTCATTGGTTTCTGATAACTTTTACCCACACCTTCTTTATTCAGTGAGAATCTGGACTGTTCCAGGAGGATAGTGAGTAAGGGAAGAAAGAAAGCAAGCAGGAGGTATAAGTGTGGGAGGAAAGACAAGTGTGTTCGTTTGATGTACTTGCAGGATATTTACATAAAAGTGCCCAGTAGATACCTGGGAATTAAGGTCTGATGCTCAACCCCAGCCTGGACATGTAAATTTTTGAATCCTTTAAATAGACCTTGGAAATTAGTGGAAAATGCACAGAAAAAAAGCAGTAAACGTCCCCCATGTCCTGTCACTAGCTCTGATGAAGAAAATGAAGCCATTTATGGTTAAAGAGACTTTTAAAATCAGCCTTTGATTCCCTAATTTAGGTGTCAATTTCTTTGACTCTTGTAATGATCACTTTTAAAATTTTTCTAATAGTAAATCTCTGACAGTTTTTTATTTCTATACAGAAGAAATATTTTTTTTTTTAAAAACCACTGTTCAGGGCCTCCCCGGTGGCGCAGCGGTTGAGCGCTGGGTTGCGAAGCTGCGCGCGGCCTCTGCGGCGCCGGTTCGATCCCCGGCTGCTCCCCGGCCACCGGAGGAGGGTCCCACATGGCGCGCAGACCTCTCCTGCCGCCCGCTGCTCCCCTCAGCAGTGTACTTCGGTCCTTCTGCCTGCTCTGCTCCCCGCTCTGGTGAATTCCCTCGCCCTCCCGCGCTTCTGACTGTACCCAGTGCATGTATAAACAAAACAAACAAAGAAACCAGCAAACAAATAAATAAAGCATGCCTCTATAAAAAAAAAAAAAAAAAAAAAAACCACTGTTCATTAAACTACTTTTAAATTTTTACTGAGGTCATATTGGGGTACCCCACCATCAGGTATTACCACCATACTGCACCCACCACCAACTCACTCCTATCCCACCACCATAGTGCTTCCTTCCCTCTTCATTCTTACCCTTTCTCCCCATATGGTACTTCAGTTCTGTTGTCACCTACCAAGGGTTCAGTTTTCAGCTTGTCTTTATCTGACTATTAATTTAGTTACTTTGTGTTCTATATATAAGTGATACTGTCCCATATTTATTTTTATCCTTCTGACTTATTTCACTTAGCATTATCCTTTCAGTCTCCATCCATGTTGCTGCAAATGGCATGACTTTATCTTCTTGATTGCTGAGTAGTATTCCATTGTGTATATATACCATATCTTCTTTTTTTTTTTTTAAGATTTATTTATTTGTTTGTTTATAAAGATTTATTTATACAAGCACTGGGTACAGTCAGAATCTCGGAAGGGTAAGAGAATTCACCAGAGTTAGAGCAGAGAGCAGAGCAGGCAGACTGATGAAGTACACCGCTGAGGGGAGCAGTGGGTGGCAGGAGAGGTCTGCACGCCATGTGGGACCCTCCTCTGGTGGCCAGGGAGCAGCCAGGGATCGAACCGGCGCCGCAGAGGCCAACCCAGCGCTCAACCGCTGTGCCACCTGGGAGGCCCTATACCACATCTTCTTGATCCAGTCACTTGTTTTGGGGCACCTAGGTTGTTTCCATAGTTTAGCTGAAATAAACAGTGCTGCAATAAACATGGAAGTAGTGTTTCTTTTTGAATTAGCGTTTTTGAATTTTTTGGATGGATGCTTAAGAGTGAAATTACTGGGTTGAATGTCAGATCCATTTCAAATGTTTTGAGACACCTCCATACTGCTTTCCATAAGGGCTGGACCAGTTGCATTCCCCAAGCAGGGTTGGAGGGTTCTCTTTTCTTCACATCCTCACCAGCACTTGTTTCTAATCTTTTTTGATACGGGCCATTCTCACAGGTATGAGATGGTATCTATCATGGTCTTGATTTGCGTTCCTCTAATAAGTGATTGTGAACTTTTTTTAAAGATTTATTTATGCATACAAGAATTGGGGTGTAGGCCTGAGGTGCTGGGGTGGGGGAGCAGTGAGAGGATTCACCAGAGACAAAGTGGGGAGCAGAACAGGCAGATTTACTGAAATACACTGCTGAGGGGAGCATCAGGTGAGACAAGAGAGGTCTGCTGTGCCATGTGGGTCAACTCCCTGGCAAATGATCGCACTCATACTGTGGTAGCTGGCAATAGCTTGATAGTGCTGAGGCTTTACCCCCGCACCACAAGGGAGACCCTGTCATGAAACGTTTGCCTATGTTTGCCTGTGTTTCCTTATGTCTTTTATGGTTTCAGGTTTTACATTCAAATCTTTGATCCATTTTTAGTTGATTTTAGTGTATATGTAGCATGGCCTAGTTTCATTCTTTTGCATGCAGCTATCCAGTTTTCCCAACACCATATATTGAAGAGGCTTTTCTAGTTCCAGTGTATGTTTTTGACTCCTTTGTCATAGGTTAATTATCCATAAATATGGGTTTATTTCTCTGTTCTCAGTTTTGTTCCATTGGCCTATTTTTGTTCCAGTACCAGGCTGTTTTAATTATTATGGCTTTATAATATAGCTTGGAAATGTGATACCTCCATCCTCTTTCTTCTTTGGCAAGCTTGGTTTTGCTATTCAGGGCCTTTTGTGGTTCCATATGAATTTATATGCTCCACTTCTTTGAAATTGACATTTTTATTGGGATTGCATTGGATCTGTATATTTCTTTGGGAAGAATGGCCATTTTGACAATGTTGATTCTTCGAATCCACAAGCAGGGAATATTTTCCCCTTTCTTTGTGTCTTGTATTTTCTTTCAACGTTTGCATCTTCAGGTACATTGACTGGTTTTTCCACTTCATCTGTTCTACTTCCACAACTTTCTCCTGAGTAATTTCATCTCCTGTATTTCTCTTTTGAACTCCTGAGACTCCATTTTTATCTTTAGAGCTTCAATTTCTGGGTTCAGCACATTGATTTCATTTTTTTTTTTTTAAGATTTATTTATTTGTATACAAGAACTTAGGTACAGGCCAGATGCACGGGAGGGTGAAAGGATCACCGGAGACAGGGCAGGAACAGAACAGGCAGACATAAGAAATACACTGCTGAGGGGAGCGGCGGGTGAGACAGGAGAGGTCTGTTGCACCATGTGGGATTCTCGCCGGCTGGCTGGGATTGAACTGGCACTGCAGAGGCTGCAGACAGCTTCTCAGTGAGACACTCAAACACCTGCACCACCAGGGAAGCCCTCATTGATTTCATTTCTAACAACACTCATTTGTTTTTCTGAGTTTTCTTCAATTTCTTTATCATTGCCGTTCTAAGCTCTGTATCTCATAGGGAGAACATAGCTTCCATGTCTGTGAATTGACTTGTTTTCTGTCTGTATTCTTCACTTGGGGACTCATGTTCCTGTTTGTTGGGTTTTTCCTTCTGCCCATTATTAGCTTTGGAACCCAATTACTGTATGGGGCTTATCTCTGTGTATGGTTCCCACCCACCTCACTGGTTAGGGTTCTCACCTATTTGGGTGAGCAGCTGGTAGGGTCTCATGGATGGTCATGAGGCCTCTGGCCACTCAGGCTCTCTCCCTGCTGTCAGTCCAGGGTCTCACCAGTCTGTGTGGGTGCTGGTGGGGATCCTGTGGGAAATTACAAGGCCTTTGTGGGTCCAGGTGGGTGCATTGAGGGTGCAAGGCTTCTTCCAGTCTAGGCAAGTGCTGGCTGGGTCCTGCCGAAAGTTACAAGGCCTTTGCTGGTCTGGATCGGTATTGGTGGGGTTTCCTGAGGCCTCTGGCCACTCTGGCTTCCTCCCTTGACATGGATCCAGGATTTCAGTACTGGCAGGCTCTCCTAGTAAGTCTTGAGGCCTTTGAGGTCTGGTGGGGTCTCACAGAAGTTCAGGAGACCTCTGCTTGTGTGCGCGCAGGGCCTGGGAGGTTCTTGTGGAAGGTCACCAGGTCTCTGGCTACTCTGGCACTTTCCCTGATGGGGTTTCCTTGGGCGAGGGCTGGTGGAGTCTCAACCAAGTGTGATTCTTTTTTTTTTTTTAAAGATTTTTATATTTTTTTATTTATTTATGCAAGCGCTGGGTACAGTCAGAAGCTCTGGAGGGTGAGAGAATCCACCAGAGCGGGGAGCAGAGCAGGCAGAAGAACCGAAGTACACTGCTGAGGGGAGCAGTGGGCGGCAGGAGAGGTCTGCATGCCTTGTGGGACCCTCCTCCGGTGGCCAGGGAGTAGCCGGGGATTGAACCGGGGCTGCAGAGGCAGCGGGCAGCTTCGCAACCCAGCGCTTAACCACTGTGCCACTGGGGAGGCCCCCAAGTGTGATTCTTACATACAGGAAATAGGGAACATAGAAATTCAGTTTGAAAGGACAAGAAAATACTCAACAGTTGGTACTGAGTTTTCCAAAAGAGTAATTTTTTTAAATCTCAGGAATGGAAGATTGTGAAACAATGGAAGATGTGTATATGGCTTCAGTGGAAACGGATCGGGGAGTAAAGGAACAGTTACATCTTTATGACACCAGAGGCCTGAAGGAAGGCGTGGAGCTGCCAAAGCATTATTTTTCATTTGCTGATGGCTTTGTTCTTGTGTACAGTGTGAATAACCTTGAATCCTTTCAAAGAGTGGAGCTTCTGAAGAAAGAAATTGATAAGTTTAAAGACAAAAAAGAGGTTAGTAGGTGTGTTAAAAAATCAACTCTGAGTTTTAATACTAATTAAATTGCAGCATGATTTTGGGGTACTTTTTACCATTTTTAAAGCATTGTATTGTATTCATAGTATCTGTAATCTTCATAATTTTTTTTCTAGCCCAGGAAATACAGGACTGAGTTGGATCAGTACCAGCATTTGACTTTCTCTCATTGCTTGTTGCTCTGTTTAAGTTGAATTTTAATGACTCCATCACCAGTGTCTTGTGCTCTTCCCTCCGATTTTCCCCCTTCTTACCCCCTCCCACTGTATATCTTAGATTTATAATTTGATTTATAATTAGTCTCTTTTTTTTCCTGACCCCTTGTTCAGTTCCTCTATAGTCCTCCTATATGAGACCATCCGATATTTTTCTTTTTCCTTCTGACTTATTTCACTGAGCATAATCCCTTCCAGCTGCATCCATGTCACTGCAAATGGCATGAGTTTATCTTTTTTGATTGTTGAATAGTCTTGCGTTGTGTATGTACCACATTTGATCCAGTCATCTGTTTGTGGGCTTTAGGTTGTTTCCATAGCTTAGCTATTGTAAATCGTGCTGCAGTGAACATAGGGGCGCAGTTTCCTTTCAAATTAATGTTTTTGTGTCCTTTGGGTAGATTCCTAGGAGTGGAATTGCTAGGTCATATCATACAGTAGCTCCATTTTTAGTAATTTGAGGGTTCTCCAAAAGCTTTCCATAGTGGTTGGACCAGTTTGTATTCCCACCAACAGCCAACACAATAATTTTGTTCCCCTATGAATTTCTTCTCAGTTGCTGGTTTCCCTGCCTGGAGCAGATTTTTCTCCAGATACCCACATGTCTGGCTCCTTATCTAGTCACCTAGGAACCTTAATATGTACTGCTTAATATCGCTGGCTAGATGTTCTTAAACTGGATTTTTTTTTATGTTAAATCTTTTGAGATAATTACAGATTCACCTGCAATTTTAAGAAATTGAGATGCCTTATTCAGTTTTCCCTAATACGCTAAGTACAATATCACAGCCATGATACTGATATTCAGTCAAGATACAGAACATTTTCTGCATTGCAAGGATCTCTCATGTTATCTTTTTTTTTTTAAACAATAATGACTTTCTTTTCTTTTTTATTTAAAGATTTATTGGGGCCTTCCCGGTGGCGCAGCGGTTGAGCGCCGGGTTGCAAAGCTGCCCTCAGCCTCTGCAGGGCTGGTTCAATCCCCGGCTGCTCCCTGGCCACCGGGGAGGGTCCCACATGGCGCGCAGACCTCTCCTGCCGCCCGCTGCTCCCCTCATCAGTGTACTTCGTCACTCTGCCTGTTCTGCTCCCCGCTCTGGCTCTGGTGAATTCTCTCACCCTCCTGCGCTTCTGACTGTACCCAGTGCTTGTATAAATAAATAAATAAATAAATAAATAAACAAACAAATAAATAAATAAATCTTTAAAAAAAAAATGAAACTGCGGAAGTAATAGTCTTAAAAAAAAAGATTTATTGATTGATACAAGCACTGGGTACAGTCAGAAGTGCAGGAGGGTGAGAGAATTCACAGAGCGGGGAGCAGAGCAGGCAGAAGGACCGAAGTACACAGCTGAGGGGAGCAGCGGGCGGCAGGAGAGGTCTGTGTGCCATGTGGGACCCTCGCCCGGTGACCCCGTGGGCAGGGATCAAACCGGCCCTGCAGAGGTTGCGGGCAGCCTCGCAACCCAGCGCTCAACCGCTGCGCCACCGGGGAGGCCCATCATGTTATCTTTTTATAGCCATACCCACTTCCCTCCCAGCCCCAATTACTCCTTAACCCTTGACAAACTCTTAATCTGTTCTCCATTTCTATAACCTTGTCATTTCAAGACAGATAACATATATGGAAACCTACATATGTAACATTTAGGTTTCAGCTTTTTTCACTCCACATCATTCCCGGGGCGGGGCGGGGGGAAGTCTTCCAAGTCGTTGCACATACCCGTAGTTCACCCCTTTTTATTGCTCAGTCGTCTTCTATGATATGTGCCCAAATTTAATTCTTCACCTGTTGAAGGACATCTGGGCTGTTAATACTTATTTTTATTATTTTGAATATTTGTGAATAACCATAGTCACAAAGTTCAATCTTCAAGAGATTAAAAAAGGCAGGTAAGGAATGCTCCTTTCCTTCCTGCTTCCCATCTTTTCCACATCTACAGGTAAATACTGTTACTTTATGTATTATTTATTAATGAAGTATATACCATTGTTTTACACCCTTGTTTATGTTTTGACACAATAGGTTTTCTCAGGTCAGGTATGGTCACTCTAGCTTCCACCACCAAAGCACCCAGAGTTTACCATAGTCCATTGTGCTCTCCCTCCTTCCTCCCATATCAACCTTCTCTCTCTCCCCCTCCCTTCCTGGATGCCTCAGATTATGGTCAGCTTTCAGGGGTTGGTTTTAAAGTGTTTTTGCCTGGCCCTTTGATTTCTCTGTATTCCACATTATAAGTGACACTGTCTGGTATTTATCTTTCTCCTTCTGGCGTATTTCACTTAGCATAATCCCTTCCAGCAGCTTCATCCATATTGCTACAAATGGCATGAGTTTACCTTCTTTGATCTCCGAGTAGTATTCTATTGTGTGTGTATACCACATTTTCTTAATACACTTGTGTTCTTGGACATTTAGGTTGTCTCCATAGCCTCACTATTGTACACAGTGCTGTCATAAACAGAAGTGCAGGTTTCCCTTTGAAGTAGTGTTTTTATGTTCTCTAGTTAGGAATGGAATTGCCATGTTTCTTGGCAGATCCATTTTTAGTCTTTTGAGGGACCTCTACAATGCTTTCTATAGGGGCTGGACCAATCTGCATTCCAACCAACAGTGTATGAGGGTTCTTTTTTCTCCACACCCTTGCCAGCACTTATTTTTGTGTTGTTGGTTTTTTTTTTAAGATTTATTTTTTATTTATACAATAGCTGGGATACAGGCCAGAGGTGCGAGCAGTTGAGAGGATTCACCAGAGACAGAGTGGAAAACAGAACAGGCAGACAGAAAGCACTGCTGAGGGAAGCAGCAGGTGCGACAGGAGAGGTCTGCCATGCCATATGGGACTCTCCCTGGCCGGCCGGGAATCAAACCCATGCTGCAGAGGCTGCGGACAGCCTCACAGTGCTGCGCTCAACCTGCTGCGCCACTGGGGAGGCCCTGTTATTGTTTTCTTCAAAATAGGCTATTCTTAGTGGTGTAAGGTGTTATCTCACTGTAGTTTTGCTTTAAAGATTTATTTATGCATACAACAACTGGGGTATAGGCCAAGGGTGTGGGGGTGGGGTGATAGGATTCACCAGAGACAGAGTGGGGGGCAGAACAGGTGGCTCTATTGAAATACACAGCAGAGGGGAGCAGTGGGTCAGACAGGAGAGGTCTGTGCTGTGTGAGTTAGTTCCCTAGCCATGAATCGAACGCATTGCCACAGTTGCTGGCAATAGATTGATAGCACGGAGATTTTAACCCCTGCACTACCAGGGAGGCCCCTATCTTATTGTGATTTTAATTTGCATTTCCCTGATGATAAATGGTGATAATGAACATTTTTTTCATATGCCTGTTGGTCATCTGTATGTCTTCTTTGGAGACATGCCTGTTTAGCTCTTCTGCCTATTTTTTGATTGGGTTGTTTTGTTTTCATTGAGTTGTATGAGCTGTTTGTAAATCTTCAATTTCAGTCCCTTGTCAGATGTGTGCTGTGCAGATATCTCCCATTTGTAGGGTGTCTCTTTGACTTATTATCTCTCTTGTTGTACAGAAGCCTTTTCATTTGATGTAGTCCCATCTCCTTCGTTTTCCGTGCTGCTGAGGATTCGTCTGAAGCTTAAGTCATGGAGAGTTTTGTCTGTGTTCTCATCTATGTATTTTTATGGTTTCAGTGTTAAATTCAAGTTTTTATTCCATTTTAAATTGTCATGTATGGTAAGAGATCTGTTTTAATTCTTTTTGCATGTGGCAGTCCAATCTTCCTAGCACCGTTTACTAAACAGGCTTTTCTTATTCCAGTGTATATTCTTTTTTTTTGAAGATTTATTTATTTATGCATACTAGAACTGGGGTGAGGCCAGAGGTACGGGGAGGTGAGAGGATTCACCAGACAGAGTGGGGAGCAGAACAGGCAGATCTACTGAAATACACTGCTGAGGGGAGCAGCAGGCGAGACAGGAAAGGTCTGCTGCACCATCTGGGGCAGCTCCCTAGCGGATGCTGCAGTAGCTGCAGATAGCTTCATAGTGCTGATGCGTAACCCCTTGTGCCACCAGGGAGGCCCCTCCAGTGTATTTTCTTTACTCTTTTGCTGTTGATCAATTGTCCATAAATATGTGGGTTTATTTCTGGACCCTCAGTTCTTTTTTTTTTTTTTTTAATTAAATTTTTTTTTTATTTTTAAGTAGAACTGGGGTATAGGCCAGAGGTGCAGGAGTGAGAGGATTCACCAAAGACAGAGTGGGGAGCAGAACAGGCAGATTTACTGAAATACCCTCGTAAGGGGACCAGAAGGCAATACAGGAGAGGTCTGTTGCACCATATGTGGGTTAGTTCCCTGCCTGGGGATCGAATTTAGGGAAATCGATTGATTGCATTGATTCTGTAAATTGTGTTAGGTACTTTCTTAAGTATCCTCTGGATTCTCTTCCCTGCCTCTCAGAAGTTGAAAGAGTTGGTAAGTGAACACTCAAGACTTCATATTTTAATCTTGGCTTCCTTATCTGTAGAATGAGGGTAATAATAGTATCTTTTTCATATGGTTATTTAAGCAGCATACTCAGTCAGTAAATACTGAGCAAATACTAATATGCGCCTAACATTGTTCAAGATGCAGGGAATACACTAGACGAACAACCAGAGTCCCTGGTCCCATACAGTTTCTGTTTTGGGATTAAAAGGGTGAGAGACAACTAACAAAAATACACATGAAGAATGATGCTATGTAAAAAAGTGAAGCAGAGCGGGAATAGGGGGTACTGTTTTCTGTTGGGTCGTCTAGAAGGTCTTCCTGATAAGTGACTTTTAGCAGATTTGAAGGAAGTGAGGGAGGGGTCCACGCAGAAGTCTGGAGGAGGAGGATGCCAGGCGGAGGGTCTGGCCTGGGAGTTTCCTTGTCATAGTTAGGAATAGCACTGAAGGCAAAGAATGGGGTTAGGAGTTTGGTAGGAGATGAGAGCAATAGTTTACAGTGAAGCCACTGTTTATGAGCAAAGGTATGATAGGACCTTATGTTGCATTTATTATATTTTTTAATTAAATAGTAATGTTTGAACATGGTTCAGAAATAAAAATGATATATAGAAAACTAGTGAACTCTAGTTCCCACTCCTGTCCTTAAGCACCATGTGTGTTCTTGTGCTTCAAGCATGCTTTTAAATTTTTTAAGAAGATTTTATTTATGCACACACAAACAGAGGTGCGGGGGATGTAAAGATTCACCAGAGACAGAATGGGGAGCAGAACAGATGGATCTACTGAAATTCGCCTGCTGCTCCCCTCAGCAGTGTGACGGGAGAGGTCTGCTGCACCATGTGGATCAGCAACCTGGCCAGGGATCAAATTCATGCTGCAGTGGCTGGTGAGAGCTTGATAGCACTGAGACTTTAACCCTGTGCTACCAGGGAGGCCTGTAAGCATGCTTTTTTTATGTTTTACCATTTACCTTTTTTTGAGGCATCCTTCAAACTTTATAAAGGTAAATAGGAATATAATTACTCCCTTTTTTACACCATAGGTAGCATACATACTATTCTATAATTCGTTGTTTCATGTAATAGAACTGCTTCCCCCCCCCCGCCCCCCGTAACTGGTGCATATTTGTTGTATGGGTGTAGATGCATCACTCTTACTCAGTAAAAAAATTATGCATTTATTATCTTGTATATTAGAAGGTATCTGCTGTCGGTCAGCAGAAGTGGGGTCAGATATGTAGCCAGATTACCTTTAACAGTAATGGTATAAAAATGTCTTTTTCTCAAGTCTTGACAACAGTGTGTTTGGATTTTGTGGATCTTGTGGGCGAAAATGGTATTTTAATAGTTTGTTTTTTCTTAATATGAGATTGAGACACTTGTTTTGAAATGATCATTTTGGCTGCTGTATTGACACTGGGGGACAAGGTGAGAAGCAAGTTTAGCTGAAATGCTATTGCCCTGAAGCACTTTACCATTTACCAGTTGGAGAGTTGGGAAGATACCTGAAATAGTGGCCAGTTAGGTATCAGGAAAGCCAAGAAATAAAGATGTCCCAGAGGCAAATAATGGGCAGCACTTCAAAAAGTAGGGAGTAGGTTTTAGTGTGGTGGTGGGGGCATGTGGTTCTCTTCTAAGTGATTGTGCTTTCTTACTGAATACGTATGGACCTCAGTTGAGGATAAGGTGGGGGAAGGAAGATGATGGAGAAGAGGGCCAAGGCAGATGTTGCTTTGTTAGAGTGAATGGGGGAAATACTTTGCTGGAAACCACCGCTACACTTGAGCGGTTAATTGGGACAGCCAGCAGAGTGGTTTTTTCCACTCAATTTAGAAAAGTAGTATAGGTACAACTGAGTTTACTGTAACTCAGTTGTAAGGTAGGGGTTTTGCCAAGTGAATACTATGTATGGTATGTGACACGCAGCAAGGTTGTATATAGAAGAATCTAAAGTGGATAAGGAACTATATCTATGAGTGGGGTTGAAGGACAATGGTAATAGTAGTACAGCTAGAGCTCACCTAACATTGTCAATAGATTGTTGGAAATTGACACGAACTGACCATATATATATATATATACACACACACACACACACATACACATATATATACATATATGTATATGTAGGAGTTTTGGTAAAGTCATGATGCATTCTTGCTTGAAAAACATAGGAAAAAATACTCCTTGACTTTTCCAACAACCCAATAATGAAAGAGGGTTTTTGAAACATTTCTTTCAGTATCAGTCGGGATTATTTTTCATTGATGTTGTAACAAAAAATTATTTGAGGACCTGCTATAGAGCTAGGATTATAAATCTTTGTGGTGGTTAAAATTGTTGCAGCTAGGGTATTTGTGTACTAGGAAGGTGGAGCTAAGAATTGGATTCCTGGAATTGAAAATCATGGAGGGGAGCAAGTAAAATTGCCAGGGCTGGGATGTGTTCATGGGGGTGAACAGCTGAGGTGAGGAGGATGAGAGTCATCAGAGATGTCAGGGAGCCAAGACCCAGTTACTGAAAGGATCATCCACCTGGCTACCAAAATCACTAGGATTAAGATAAAAGTAGTGTGCAGGTGACTAAGAACTGGGTCTAATAAGCAGCAACAAGATGGGGGTGGGGGAGCAGGTAGTTGAGACTATTAGCACTGGTCTTCAATTGTGGGGTTTCAAAGGAAAGGGGGGGGCATGTGAAAGAGATTTTGTTGAACTCTAGGGTCAGAGTGGAGCAGTTTCTGCAACTGGGAGGAAAGGAAGATGAAGTCAGACTAGGGAATGTACATGAAGATGAAAATCTGAGTCAAGAAGGCTGAGAGGGATAGTTCCTGCTAAGAAACAGAATATGAGATTTGCCAAGAAACTGGAGCCCTGGGACCTGCTCCTTCTTCCAAGCAAGAACATATCCCTTAACTGGAGGATAGGGAGCTCGACTTAAAGGCAGCAACACAGCATTGGCTCAGAGGCCCCTAGTTCAAAGCTGCTTCTCAGAGATACCTTCGCTGACAATTCTTGCTGTTTTTCCTCAGCTTTCCCACCATCCTGCTTTATTGTTGTCTTTACAGTCACTATGGGAAAATCTGGATGTTCTCTTCCCCCTTCTCTTCCTAGTCTTTGCCTTGTGACTGTTACCTGTGATCTGGTCCTTTCTTGAAACAGTGCCTGGCGTGTAGTAAGCTTTGATGTTTACGTGAAAGACTGTCTTGTAATTGAGTTGTAAAATGTTACTGTTATTTAGATCCGGCATTTTTCTTCATTGGGAATAATGTGACTAGAAAAAAGAAATTTCTCCTCTTACGGAACTTAGGTTTTAAGGATGCAGGACTCAGAGCTTCAGGAGCTGTCTTACATATTTTAAAATACGTACTACAAATCCAGAATTGTAGGTATAACTAAAATAAACTTAAATGCAGATACATTTCATGTATCTTTTACATTTTCATGTAAACCATTCATGTATCTTTCAGTTTCCCCAAGTTTACCTTCTGCTTATATCTGAGTAACTTCACCTGTTAATTTAAAATATTTCATAGCAACCTGTGGAGAACATGCATTTATTTATTTATTTATTTATTTATTTTTTTTTTAGATGTATTTATTTATTTATCCAAGCACTGGGTACAGTCAGAGGCGCGGGAGGGTGAGAGAATTCACCAGAGCCAGAGCGGGGAGCAGAGCAGGCAGAAGGACCGAAGTACACTGCTGAGGGGAGCAGCGGGCGGCAGGAGAGGTCTGCGCGCCATGTGGGACCTCCTCCCGTGGCCGGGGAGCAGCCGGGGATCGAACCGGCGCTGCAGAGGCTGCGGGCAGCTTCGCAACCCAGCGCTCAACCGCTGCGCCACCGGGGAGGCCCAGAACATGCATTTAAAAAAATAAAATTAAGGGAGGTTATTGTGTAATTGAGGTCACATCTGAGAATCAGTTTTGACGAAGCCATCTGTTAAATGGGTAATTTTTCTTTTCTCCAATTTTGCCTAGGAAGCGATGTTGGCAAAGTATGACCATTTTATTTTTCTTTCAGGTAGCAATTGTTGTATTAGGAAACAAAATTGACCTCTCAGAGCAGAGACAAGTGGACGCTGAAGTGGCACAGCAGTGGGCAAAAAGTGAGAAAGTGCGACTGTGGGAGGTAACGGTTACAGATCGGAAGACTCTGATTGAACCATTCACTTTATTAGCCAGCAAACTTTCCCAGCCTCAGAGCAAATCGAGCTTTCCTTTACCTGGGAGGAAAAACAAAGGGAACTCTAGCTCTGAGAACTAAGAGTGAATATCGCCACAATTGTTTGCTGAATAGGGATAGCCTTTGAACGCCTGAACATATTTAAAATAGGTCATTCAGTGCACTTGTTACTAAATTATTTGTGCTAAGTTTATTGTGTCCCATGAAATGAGGTAATCCACCATTCTCATTCTCTGAAACTTGACTTGAAATTATTTTGTTATTTGTTGGTTTTCTCAAAACAGTAAAATAAATTTTGGTAGTATGCAAATGTAGCTACTGAGTAGTTTCCCCTCCCTCACCCTGGTTCAGAAGCTACGCAAAATTCTTAGCTGAAACTCGACTTTTATTTTAAAAACAATTTTTTTGCATACCATAAACAGCATTTTGGGCACTACTACATTAGCTAATTTGTGGAGATTTTGCTAAATAGGACAAATGTTTAGCATGATTTGGAGTAATGTAAATACATTCTAGTTGTTTTTTCTTTAGTGAGCTGCGGAGCACCTAGGGAACGTTAAGCTTCCATTTTCCACAAGGAATACTATATACCTTCTTCAGTCGTAAAGCAAAATAAAATGTAGCGTAAACATAATGCATTACAGGTAGTCTTCAATTTAAATAACCTGTGTTTGTACTACAGGATTTTTGGCAAGGTCTGAGTAATGGGGCTAATTTTAGCAAGTTGACAGTAGTCATTTCGACTGAGAAAGCAGTTAACTTTTATTTAAATGTAAAATACAGCATAAGCTATTCAGTAAGGAAATTCTAAAGCATCTAATAAATTATAACATCTTAAATGGAGTCCTTTTTAGGTTGGTGCATTCAAGCCACAAGCTGCTGCTGCATGTAAAAGAAGCAAAACTTATCAATCGCCTCATAATTGTTAACTCAGAAATGGTTCTGTCATTGCCTGCCTTCTCTCCCAGATAGTAAGTGTTCATTTTCTATACCCTTTTCCCCTGGTATTTTTACTATTTTTAACTTTTTTCTATTATGTGTAACTTAAAACTATATTAGAGTTGCCATATTCTTTTAAAATGTTTAGTGACTATGTGTGTGCGTTTCTCTACAGTAGTTAAAAGTAACTGAACTGATCACTTAAGAGTATATTATACATGCACCTGGCTACTCCTATATTGCCCTCAAATGTGGCTGCACTAATTTTGTCCATGAAAGAACCCGTTTCTCATGCACTTATCCCACAGCATTTGCAGGTTAGATAGACCTTAAAAATCTAAGTGTTGCATTACTTCTAGGTTCAAAGGTCAAGTTAGAAGAATCTGAAAACTACAAAGTAATAAACACAGCAGTGTTGGGTGGTTGTTTTAATATTGTTTATTAGCACAGTAACAAATGTAGACTTAAGTAGTCCACAACATATAACCAACCCACTGAGTAACTCCTATTCCACATCTGACAGTTAACAGCTTAAGGTATTTTACTACAGGTTTCCACAAGTCCTGATTCAAACCTCTATAATCTTTCCACGACAAAGCAGATTGGCATATAAAATAAAATACACAACTATTCATTTCCTATAGGGTGTCTTAAAGCCATGTGTCCATTTTATATATATATATATATGAGATGACAGTCTTTTAAAAACTTAAATACCAATGTTCCTGTCTAAGAAGGAAAAAACAAATTCCAAATTGTTTAAACAAAATAATGCGGTCATTAGAGAACCAAATAAATGGCCATGTGTGTAACCTGCACAAACGAAATACCTGTCTACTGTAGCAAGATACCTTAAGTTACAACAAAATCTTAAGAAATAAGACTGAATAATATCTGTTATAGAAATACCCTACTCTTTACCAACTCCCACCCTCCCCCACCCCTTGAAAATCACAAGCAGCGCTCTCTGTGACAGACAATGTAAGAATTGTGAAAACCCAACTTATGTAGCATATCTCTTGGTCCACTGTCTGGCCATTCTGTCATGTTCTGCTCTGTTGGTCATATACTGAGTGGCAATACTTCCCACCAAGGGGTCGGCTGGAAGAAAAGAATGTAGATTACTTCGGAGAAAGTACAGACAGCTTCTGAAGAAATGTACCACAAGGTATTTGTGATCAAATCTTTCTTTGAAACACCAGTCTACCACGTTGGGCACTTTTCCTGCGCAGGCAAATCTGACTTTTATCTCCTAGTTCATTCCATTGCTCTCCCAACAATACCACCCAATCGGAGGGTTTTTTGGTCTTACATCTTAGGGTATCTTAAACTGAAACTAGACTGTTCAAAGCACTGGACTGCAGTGAGCATCCTGCTTTGTTCCTATGACCTTTTTTGCTCAAGGGTACCTGTTGTGACACTGAGTAACTGTGCAGTCCCAAGGGTGCTTGCAGTGTGGTACCACTTACTCGTATACCGTGTGCTCCTGGGTCAAAACCCAGAACTCCAATTAAGGAAATTTTAATGAAATGAAGTCCCCCGTCACATGTGACAATCGCTAAGTATTTAGCAAAAAAATTGAACATTTAGTATGTGGTTTTAAGAATTGTATGAATAAGAACATATGTGAAAAGGGAGAGGCAGAATGAATGAAAATTTAGAAAAATCTGTATCTTAACAAACTTAATGCGTCCGGTAACCAAGTATTTTGATTACCAGGTGAGGAAGAGTAAAACAAAGTAAATTAACCTTACCAGGATTGCAGTCTGTAAGAAGTGAGCAGATAGAAAGGAGGACTTTAGAAATGGTTAGTGCTGGACTCCAATTGTCTTTCAGTATGTCCAAACAAATAACTCCTTGACTGTTAATATTACAGTGGTAGATTCTTGTGCGAAATGTAACCTAAAATAACAAAATGTATAATTTTAAATAGCAACAAAGAAGCTTTTTACTAAATTGCCCTTCAGGTGAGTGGCCCTAAAGTATAATGCTGACAAATAGATTGATACTAATAGAAAGTGTTCATTGATACTCAGGGACTGCCAACTTCACTAAAATATCCATCAACAAAAACTTTTAATATTTCCTGAATTAGCAGTTTGATTTCCTTAACATTTCCAACTTAGAATAGCTATATGTTTGCTGACCTCTGGTGGTAGCTGACAGTACTACAAGGGTACATAAAATTACAATCAAATTCAAGCTCAGATAAAGTGAGGTCCAATGTAGTAGGTACATAAAGACACTTAAAATGTTTTTAGCAAACAGTGATCACACACTCAAAAACCTGTAAAAGAAATTCTTAATTTGTTTCTGCTTTTTTCTAGCCTTTGTAGCTTCCTATCTACCTAAATCACAGAATTCACTCTTAACAGTGTCCCCACAGGTGAGCCACCAGCAGTGGAACACAGCAATAGACAACACAAGCTATAGTATGGGTAACTTGAGTGTCCTAATTTTGGTGAACTACTTTACTGACAGACTTTCAATCATTTCTTGCTGTGGCAATCGTTCTTGTATCTGGCAAGCTACCTCATCTCCAAGAGGTTTTTACTTTCTGCCGGCGTGAATGAGAATCAGATTGTTGCGTATTACGAGATGGGTATCATAGATGAGAAAACAAGTCTTGGAGGTAAGGATTTGGATAACAAAGCAAAATCGAAGGCTTTGGTAGGAGATTATGATTTTCCTGTTGCTTTATTAGTGCATGGGTATTCTGACCCCATTTAACTGTTTAGAAACTTTTACCTGGCTGGAAAATTCTAGGCTGCTGCTTTTGATGGCACTTAAAATCCTACCATTTAGTCAGCCCAAAGAAGTGTTTTATGTACATTCAATTAAGATGACAAGCAGGTTTCCTGTTATGCTTATGTATATGATAATATTAAGTCTCAATTTTAGCATCAATTAGTACTGAGTTTCTTACCTTTGGAGGTTTGAAGGGATATTCTGGTGTAAAAGTGATATCAAGGAAGAATACACCACCCTCATATACAGATCCTGGAGGCCCTAGAATGGTTGATCTCCATTCATAGATGTTATCACCTTTGGGACCAGCACTGTGGAGTAAGATAGCAAAAGAGGACTTAGATGATGGCACGATTCCAATTTTTACAGTGTATCAAGGAAGGGAAAGATCATGTCCATAAAGTATGAGTAAGAACCTCAAGAAACGCATAAAACTTGGGTAAATTAATTCATTCATCTGAAGTATGCTTACCTGCCTACACATTTGCACCCTGCGTATGTACTGGGTAGAACGCCTATAGTGGCTTACAGAGTGTGACACCCTTTTGCCAGACTGTAGTAAACTGAAAATGGTTGAGTAGATGAAGACAAATAGAATAGAGGTTACAGATAAAAAGATGAGTACACATATGTTCATTTCATGATATCCAAACCCCTCTTAAGAGGGGCCAAGAAGAGAAACAGTAATCAGTAACCATACTGTCTACTTCGTAGCTTGGTGATACTCAGAGACCCAGAAAAAGTTTAGTCGGTCCATGCCAATGGACCCAATTCTGGCTGGTTCTTTAATACAGAAGAAGGTTTAAAAGAACAAAGACGGATTACAGTGTGCCTCTGTAAACTCATCTTGGTTCCTTTGCAACTTTTATGGACAATATGGAACTTTAGGTCTGGGTTTGCGTGGCAGAAATCTTTAGTGTATTACAATATGAGGGGAGGGGGACAGGAAGATTCTATTTAAAAATCTCCCCTGGTGATCTTTAAGCAGGTGATTAGCATGTGGGTGTCACTGGTACTGAAAGTAGGACAATCAGTTGAGAATAAGCTTTACAGATTGTCACCTGTGATACTGACTAGAAACCAAAAGATAGCTGTGCTCAGCTTTTGCTTGGGTATGAGCTTCTAAGTAAAATAGCAAATATAGTGAAATCCTAAAGCAAAAATAGGAGCCCTAAAAGACTTTTTTAGTAACAGGGATTAATTCTCAACCAGGGGACTTCGGGAACTGAATGAAAACGTGACACTCACTTTAAAGCTGTTATTGAATAAATTCATGTAACATTTTCTAATGTTATTTTTTCTTCCCCAAATTCTCTCGTTAAAAATCTACTGGTTTAGAAGACAGGTGGACCATCCCCACCCCACCCTTGGGCTGTCACAGTCCCTCAGACACAATATTAAAGAAGCTAAGTGAGACAGGCAAGACAGAAAATTGTAAGTGCTACTCCAGTGAACAAGAGCGCAAAACAGCCTTATTGCTGATATGGAGCCAGTTTCAGTGGTGGTCTGACGACATCATCAAACCAGCCATAGCATTCCCTTAAACCAAATCTCCAGCAAGGTCCTATGGCTCTTCACTTCCATGAAGCCTGAGGGGTCGGGAGGCTGCAGAAGCTGCAGCAAGTTACCTACAAGATCTAGCTATTCATGCTGAAATATCATTCACTTAAACAGTTTTCCCATGCAAATGAAATGTAGAAGATGCCCTCTAACACTCTGATAGCTAGAAAGGAAACTCAGTTCCCTGGCTTAAACGACAGGTTGACTCTGTTAGACGCAGGGGCTAATGCAGCCTATGTAGTCAAAGCAGATGCTAATTTATCATTACGGAAATCTAGGATCCTGAAAAATTATGCTAAATCTATGTTTCATAAACAAAGCTTCAGTTACATAGAGCACTGTTTACATGGTTGATTAAAAAACTCATGTGACTACATTGTTGCGGTGTCTGAGGCTTGTGTGCCTTTTTTCCCCTTCTAGACCAAATACAACTATGGAAACATGTTAAGAAATAATCATTTCTAATTTTGACAGTATTTCCTTATTTCTATATTGGGTTGACTTCATTTAGCTACACTAGTATTAGGAGCAGAGGCTCCATTTTTAACATATCACTAATGCGACCTTGGTAATTATACAAGGCAAAAAATCCAGTTGTTTCTGCTAAATGCATAGTTTTAAACAGAATTTCAACAGTATAAAATGTCATTTAACATATAATCCTAACAACCAATAAAACCAATAACTCTTGAAATTTGTGTTCTCTGGGTTGACTTAAAAATTACCATAGGTTAACTCTTTTAAGTTTCATTTTGCTTTGTTTCTCTTTGTGAGTCCTCCCCCTTTCATGTGTTATAGGCTACTGGTCTTCTATTTCAATGGTTAGAAAGCAAAGCTGCATTTCGATTTTCAAAAAATAGCATTGATTTCTTACAAAGTACACCCTGGAAGTAAGATACAAATTAAGTTTTGAAATTTATTGGGAGAGATGACACTTGCTTACAAACATAGAAAACCCTAATCCAGATGTTATTTTAGGCATAATTCTGAAATGCTTAGTTATCTAGTCTTGTTCCTAGAAAAAAATGACAAGTTGGAAAGAAAGAAACATGCTGTAAATATGCAGTAAGTTCGTATGGCAGCAGTAAGCTGGCAATGGATGAATGAAGGTTTGCAACGGGTTGCTGCTCAGGATCACCTGAATGAGCAGCTCAGTTCTCCCACCTAAAAATCCCAAGTCGGTTCCCCCATTCTATAAAGCACCCCTACAACAAAATATTTTCTTGACCCCAACTATCAATAGCACTGAGGCTGGCAATCCAGTAAAACAAAGACATCCAACTGAATGGGAGAAAATATTTGCATATCATACATCTAACAGGAGCCAATATCCACGGTCTACAGAGAACTCACACAACTCAATAAAAAGAGAAGAAGCCAGCAGAGGCGCTAGACAGACACTTCTCCAAAGACGACACACAAATAGCCCGCAGACCCATGAACAAATGTTCAACATCACTTATCAGGGAAATGCAAATCAAAACCACAATGAGAGCCTCCTCACTGCAGTGAGAATAATGGCCCACATTAAAAAAAAAAAAGCCCAGAAACAACAACTGTTGGTGAGGGTGTGGTAAAAAGGAATCCTCATAAACTGCTGGTGGGAAAGCAGGACGGTTCCAGATCCTATGGAAAAATGTGGAGAGTTCCCAAAATAGCAAAAATTACACCATAGGATCTACTAACCACTCCTTGGCATTTGTCCAAAGGATGCAAAAACACTTGGAAGGAAACACGCATGCTGTGTTCACTGCAGCGCTATTTAAGATGGGCGCCTAATGCAAATGGCAGGTCACTGGCTAAGAAAAGGCGGTACTATGCACACATGGTGGAATGGTCGTCGCTCACTGAGAAAAGACAGATGAACTCCTGCCATTTGACATCATGGATGGAGCTGGAGGGGAGTATGCTAAGCAGAAGTCGGGAGAAAGAAAACCACCTAATGATTTCACGCGGATGTGGAATATGCAGAGCCGAAACAAAGGCTAGAAATGGCTGAACTGGGGCTAGTGGAGGGGCACAGGATCAGGAACAAAGTGGGGAGGGGCCCACTGATACCTGATACATGGGTGCTACAGGATGGGGTGGGGTGATTCACACCCGAGAAAATAGGAACCTGTTCCTCTTTAGCATACACAGTGATGCAAACCACTATTACCTCAAATAAAAATTATAAATTACCCTTGGCATTATCTAGCTTTCGCCACTGTAACTGCAGTAAGACTATACAATCAACACCATTCACAAAACTTAGACCACGCTTGCAGGGAGAAATCCAGCATGGCACGGATATTGCCAGCAACGAATACATTACGCAAAATCCATTCTTAATTTACTCTTCCTTTGCTAAGAAATTCAAAGAGGGGGGGAAGAATGGTAAGGAGGCAGTAGTCTACAGTAGTCTACCGAAACAAATCCACCCCCACAATGGTCCCCCAGGAGACAGACTCTACATAGAATAGCAGCTACACCTTCTCAAGAGCTCTACTTACAGGAAAAACTTCCTGTCCTCAGCATCGTTCTTCATAAAAAGGCAGACATTTGTACTCTAGAGTTGAGTGGCAGAAGGAACATGAAAAACCAGAAAACATCTCTAAGGAGACGAACGGGTAAGTGAAAAGGCCTGGTGAGTCCTGTACAGAAATGGGGCATTCGCTGCTCTAGGCCTTAGTAAACGAAGAGCAGCCTCCTCGTACGAGGAGGGGGGAAGGGAAAAGAGGTGGCGGCAGTGATGCTTGGGATGTACAATTCAGGTTACTCGCCCATGGAAAGAACTTCCAGACCAAGGGCCCATCTGAAAGCCTCCCCCCAAAGCTGGTGCCCAAATAAGTGTGTACATTGGTGGTATCCAGCAGTTATCCTGAATAGTGGGTCCAGATAGTGGGGACATTGCCCTACAAAAGGAAGGGAAAATAATGAGATCATGGGCCTCCCTGTGGCCTCACGGTTAAGTCTCAGCTCTATCATCACTGTGGTCAAAGTTTGAGCCCCAGCCAGGGAGCTGACCCACATATCGCACAGCAGACGTCTCCTGTCTTGCCTGCCACTCCCCTCAGCAATGTATTTCAGCTGGTCTTTCTGTTCTGCTCCCCACTGTCTCTGGTGAATCCCCTCACCCACCCACCTCTGGCCTGTACCCCAGTTCTTGTATGCATAAATAAATCTTCTGAAAAATAAAATTGGGGCCTCCTTGGTGGCGCAAGGGATTAAGACGCAACCTATGACGCTACCTGCAGCCACCACAGCATGAGTTCGATCACCAGCCAGGGAACTACCCACACAGCGCGGCAGACCTCTCCTGACTCGCCTGCTGCTCCCCTCAGCAGTGTATTTCAGTCAACTGCCTGTTCTGTTCCCCACTCTGTCTCTGGTAGATCCTCTCACCGCCCACACCTCTGTCCTGTACCCCCATTCTTGTATGCATAAATCTTTAAAAAATAAAATGAGACATAGCCACTAAAGTAAATGACCTTCCAACAAAGCCTGAATACCAACAATGAGGAAACGGCACCTGCTGTCCTCATTTGGCAGTAAGTGTATAAACCTTCAACGGAATTTGCAGTTTTTCACACGGCTGAAAGGTCTACAGAAGTTGCACAGAGTTCATTAAAGTAAGGATGTAACCACCCCCCCTGCCACGCCCCCCCCCCCCCAGCGCAATTTGTAAGCAGAGACTCAAGAGACGCCAACGGGGATGCTGAAAGAGCAGGCCTAAAATACTACGAAGGGTGAATGAGTGTTTGGTACACAGCTAGGAATCCTGCTTTCCCTTCTAGATACCTGCACTGGGGAAGGTAGAGGAAGCCAGTATAAGACATTAGTCCCATATCAAGGGACTAAAACGGGGGTGTGGGGTGTGTGTATGGGAGACACACAAGTTAGAACACAGATGGAATCTCAGCATCCCTTGTGTCTCAAAAGCCATATTTCCTATACTAGGTCACACTGGGTAATGCGGGATAAAGGTGAATCAGACAATGGTTCTTTTCTGCAGAAACTACACAAATCTAACTTAAAACAATTCTAATTTGCTATTTCCCCAGAGAAGTTATAAAATAGGGTCAGAGGAGAATCAAATTCCAAGGTAATTAGGATTACTCCTCTACTCCCACTAAAATAATTCACAGCCAGAATATTTGCTTTAAAGTAGCTGAGTCTTGACAAGTCGCCATGCTTATGTTAGCACCTAAAGCTTTCTAAGGAAACAAATCAGCCACTAGTCTCTGGTTCTTCAAGTGGTCAGTTCAGAGCACAACCGATTCTCTGGCATACCTGTGCTGTACAAGCCTCTCGACAACTGGGAGAAAGTGGAACACGCTCTTCAGAATTTTTAGGGGAGAAGGTAAAGTTGTATAACACTCGTGCCCTCCACAAATTGAGTGCTGATCCTCTAAAAAGTAGGATCACGGGGAAAGCTATTTAAATGCCTTCTGGAACACATCTTGACTGCGAAATTATTACAGCTAAAGTTTTCCCAATGGCCCACATTCACTCCCCTTTGTGGTCTCCACCCTGAGACTGTAGGCAGGGGGAGCCAGGGGGAATGTTGGGAAGTGACATGTTAATGCACAAGAAATAGGGCTCGCCACAGAGCAGAGAGAGATGCCTGAACTATCCTGCTGCAGGGATTTCAGTCACTTATGTGGTGCTATGGATCTATTTTATTGCTTGATAACTTAGTAACGCTAAATTAAAATATTTTAATGGTCCTTTCAAAAGTCTTACAATGTGGATATTATATGGTTAACCTACTTAGGAGGGCATTGCAGAACACCTTCCTGCACTGCCCAATCAGCCTGGAACGCCCCTGCTAGGTTCTTAACCCTGGCGATTGTGTTGGTTTTTGAGTGAACACCCAGAGCGGGTGTGTCTCGTCTGAAGTCTAGCTCCCTACAACTTCTTCAGCACAGAACTGTGGCTCTGCAGTAGAAAGAGCCTTCAGCTAATGCTGGCATTTCCATTATCAGGGAGCATCTAGATCAGTGGTTATCCCAAGACCCCTTTAGGGAGCCTAGTACCATCATCAATCTAAAACATCACTTGCCTTTTAAACTCTTCAGTCTATCTGTACTGGGCGGTCTCCAGGAGACTGCATGGCTGGCAACTGTATGCTACGGCAACAGACTGAATGCAGCAGCGGCTACCCAAATCCAGCTGTCGTCTTAAGTCACACAGTAAATGAACTTGCACATATGGAAAATGGTGCCACGCTTACAAGTTCTGAAAAAAGTGATTTTTTCACTAAAAGTGTTAATGTTTTTGCTATTTTTGAATGAAGTGCTTTAATTTTCAGTACAGTAAAAAAAAAATTCCCTAATTATTTATTAGTCACGTAAACAAAAGCTCTTTGGGGTCCTTAATAATGTGTGAGAGCATCAGCAGGGTCCAGAAAACGAAAAAGTTTAAGAACTGCTGGGTTGACTATTTGCACAATTAGCTAGCCATTAAAATAAAAGTATTATACTCCCAATGGATGCTAAAAAAACAAAATGAAAACTTAATCTTTAACAGGAACTAAAGGAAAATATAAGCGAACAGTTCTGTGTGGAGAGCCATTCTTACCTTGACAACCTGTAGCAGAGGCTGTCAGTGCCTCATCCACATCCCTCATTGCCTCCAGGTTCCAGCAAACTCCTGTCAACCGGCCCCATCCGCATCTCTGTGCCTGAAAGCTGCTCTGTCCTTGGCAACAGGCAGGAAGTGGCAGGTAAATTAACTCCCTGTGGTGATCTTACAACACAATCCAAGATTTTCTGACACTCCTCCAAGAGGTAGAGACTAATTCCCCTCCCTCTGAATATGGGTTGGACCCGTGACACCTAAGTGGTGGTGTGTGACTTCCCAAGCCGGGTCCCTCTTTTTTAAAAAGTGAGAATGGCTTCCCCTGGCTCACGCACAGCTGTCCCTCTGTGCACTCTGGAAAAAAACATGAAGTCCAGCTACCCTGAAGCTTACAAACGAGAGCGAACAGGTGGAGAGAACACAGAGGCTGAGAGATGCCCGGGGAGCCCCAGGGATTGTGTCCTCAGCTTTCTGAGTCTCCCCAGCGCAGGCACCAGACCTGTGAGACAGGGAAGCATTCCCATGACTCCAGGCCAGTGAGCCCCCCGATACTAAGAGGTGGTAACAAATGGTGGTTGCTGTTTCACGTCACTTAATTTAGGGTGTTCTGTTAAGTAGCAATAAGTAATGGAACACTGTTCCCCACTCCACGCCCCCCCTGCCCTCAGACAAAGCCGATTGCTGGTCGGGACAATTCGGATGCAAGGGCTTCACCCAACTTCCCAGAGTGTCCCTTTTAGCAACTGTCACGCTGGGAGCTGGCTGAAGGCACCCGTTATTCAGCCTTTCCTTCCTGCTCTTCTTACCCTCTACCACTGTTCCTGCACCACTGACCACATTCTTTCTATCGGAAATCTCATCTCAGGACTCTCCTGGGGGAATAACACCGAGACACCACTGAGGTTAAAAACAAATCACACATACAAAGGGAAAGATGGACAGATGCGACTGCATTAAAAACTGAATATCCCTGAGGGAACGCGTTTATGAAAGGGCGGGGAAAGAGAGCTGACGCATGGGACTGGAGGTTTTTACCTTCCTATCCAAAGAGACTTGAAATACGCTGTAGTGTGTCTCCTCCACACGTTAACCATGCAGTATGCAAGCATTTCTCCAAAGAGGAAACCCTATGACCAATAAATTCTCAATCTCGCTGAGACACAAAGATAGGCAATTTAAACACTGCGGTGCCTTTTACCTCTTAGGGTGGCAAAAATGTAAGACTGGAAATCTTCTGTGTCAGTTATATGAGGAATCGCGCACTCTCGTCCCCTGCTGGTAAATCGACTGTCCTTCCAGGCTGGGATTATGTGTGACATGCTCAAATACCCACCAGACCCTCCGACACCAATTCTGCTTTTCAGAAATTAGCCTGCGGAAACCATCGGACATGCGCACACGGCTCCAGTATCCGGACCTTCAGAATGACCAAAAAACCATTTCAGGTTGGAAAAGCTTAGTTACCAATCGCAGACAGATTAAACTGTGTGGTAACTATGAAATGGTCTACTTTGCAGCTCTTAAATGAGAGAAGGTATGCACACCGAACAATACAAAAAAATCTGTAATGTACCGCGGGAAGAAAAGAGCAGGTTCCACGAAACTGCCTCATTTCTGTCAGACAGACCATATGACCAAATTGTCAAGAGTGGTTTATACCTGCAGATGAACCGCAATGGATTTTTTTCCCCCTTTAAACATCTAAATTACTGGGATTTTAGAAAATAATGCTTAAATTTTATAACACTGTTTCCAATTCTGAGTAACAAAACAATGGATGGAAGATGTGAAATCCAATCCACTAGAAACAGAGAAAGTAACTGGTCACCTTGGAGTAAGTAGTGTTTCAGACGAGAAAGCCAGCACTTCAGGGCTTGGGGATGGAGGCAGGGAGGGTTTTACTCAACCTGAGCTCTTTAAGAATTTGAGCCCGGTTTTCTTAGGTTATTTAGGGTTTTTTTTAGGTTTAGAACAGAGTTGCTAAGGATCAGAGGGGAGGTTTTTGACCAGGTCATTCCTGCACAGGAAATAAGTATGTCTCCCCTACCCAGCGTGTAGGCCCATGCAAGCCATCAAACACGAGGGTCTCCCGTGGTCACACAGAAGGACAGGCCTGGCTCGACGATGAAAACGTCCACTGTCATTTCACTTGAAAACGTAAATGGCCAGAGGGAAAGGCCACTGTCTTGTGGTCTTGGTTCCTCCGCCCTCCTCTCTCCAATTCAGGTGCTCTTTCCTAATCTTTTTTCTCTACCATGCTCCCAGACAAGGGCCTGAGAGACAGGAGATCCGGGGAGAGGCTGCGAATCTTCCAACCCAGTGTTAATTAAAGGAGCTCAAGTTTACACCAACAGCGGGCTGCGAACACATTCTGAAAATAAGGCAAATGGACCTGAGAGACTAAACAACAGACACATACTCAACTAAACACTGTTTGCCAAGGTCATCTGCTCAGCTGATCTAAACAGTTCAAAACACATGAAAGAACTGAGCGATGGGCCTCCCTGGCCTAGGGCTTAAGTCGCAGCACTATCACCACTATGGCCTGCGTTCGATCCCCGGCCACGGAGCTGACCCACATGGCGCAGCAGACCTCTCCCGTCGCACCCGCTGCTCCCCTCAGCAGTGTATTTCAGTCAGTCTGCCTGTTCTGCTCCCCACTCTGTCTCTGGTGAATCCTCTCACCCCCCCAACCTCTGGCCTATACCCCATTTCTTCTAACCAATAAACATAAAAGAAAAAGAATTAAGTGGGTGAATTTAATGGTATGTAAATCACACCTCAATAAAACACATAACATTCATCTAAGTGTCAGCACAACAAAGCTTGAACTCAAGTCTCCAGGTCTATGAGGTCGCAGTCTGTTCAGACCTGAGACGCACATTCAGAAGCACAAAGTACAAAGCCCCAGAGTAGGAAGTCACACTTCTGCCCAACACAGCCCAGGTTCTCCTGCAGTGATGTTGTTTCCAACTTATCAATGGAGCGTACAATAAAATTACCTGCCTTTGAACTCACCACCAAAATCTTTTAAACATTATCAGTCCGC